AAAAAAAAAAAAAAACCTCTTAATGATAGATGAAAAATATGAAAAATAATGCAAATGGATTTAAAAATTTATTATGTTTAAGGATAAATTTACTCAGTTTATTATAATGTTGAAATATCCTTATCATCTCATCATTTTCTCTACCATTTCCCTACTATCAGTTTGTCTTATCTTTAACAGAATGTTACATTTTTTGATATCTTACCGGTTTCTCATAGCATTATCAATGATGATAATGATGATATCAAGTACAAATACGTCAAGTAATACGCGAAGATTTGTGTCGTGTGTGTGTGTACACACGTGTACGCGTAATATAAAAAATTATGTTCAGATTTTAGCAATACTCATACTTTGCTAATTAATCAGAGGGTGCAACATCTTGTCATTGCAGACATATATAATCGAAAATTAAAAACGAAAAAATAATGTTTACTCTTGAAACAACTCAACTCTTTTGCTTCAAGCATGTAAAATCTTATTCAAGCAAGAAAGTGATTGAAGTCTCTAATATATTGTGTTGTTAATTTTTTTTTTAAATTTGATAATTCACTTTGTTGCATTGCGTGATATACTTTTATATCCGAATAATTTGTAATTTTATTTGAAAAAAAAGTGATTGTATGTGAAAAGTTTGATTTTATGTTTTACAAAATAAAAAGTAAATGTAATAAAAGATATGATCTCACATAATCACTATTACGACAAAATTCTTATTCGCAAAAATGATGATATTTCAATTGGAAATTTTTTTTAGCAAAAAAAGAAAAATAAGCATTGAATGGAAATGAAAGGATTATCAGATTGATAACAATTAAGTAATTTTAGTGAGCATAGCTCAAATAAAATAATTTTTGTAACATTTAGCTTAATCGTCCATATTGTAATCATACAGTTTATCTCATTCATACAAATTACTCTATCATTTTATACTATGCTAAAGTATACTTTATATTATATTGAAATATATATTTGCTCAATGAAATTTTATTTCATTCTATTTAACAAAATTTTTTTTATCATGAATATCTTGAAAATTTTCCACACAAATGTAGAAAAAAAAAATCAGGAAAGCTAAAGAAGCTTCCAAAACAAAAAAAAAAAATTAATTAAATTTCAAAAGTGTCAAAAAATAAAAATAATGAAGCAGTATTTTTCTTTTTCAGCATTTGTTGCACACGTACGAGAAGAAAGATGGAAAAAAGAAAAAGAAATGTAAATATAATTTAAAATGTAGAATTGTTAGGATGACAAGAAACATCGTATATAAATGATGACAGTGTATGAGATCATCTGGTTTTACATTCATTAACAGATGACAAATCGTTCTATCAGAAATGAAAAAGCGAAATTCATTAATTCCGTGATGAAGCAACTCAATTAAATGTGCTGTTTCCTCGAACAATATAAAAACTTGAAATGTTACTTAATTACGCTCAAAATAGTAAAAGATTTTTAAAAAAAAAAAAATCAAACTAAATGAAATCAATAAATGCATATGTATGAAAGAGATAAGAATATCAATTGAAATGATAATTATTTTAATTTTCTTGATTACGCAATTAATAAGTAATTAGCAAAGATGGTTTTTAATATGATGGAAGTGTGAAATTATAAAAAATAATATAATTGGTAAGTATAATTCGTATAATTCAATTTAATCATAATATAATTTTCACACTTTTATTCAATTCAATCATTTTGTTTTTTTAAATATTTTTTAAAAATTCTTATTTTCATTTAAATTTTACTAAATAAATAATCAGGAATGAAAGTTAGCTTAAACTTATCAAAACCGATATAATAGAAATCAAATATTAAGAAGGATAATGACATTCATCCTTTCTTAATTTAGTTTTTCTTTTCCGCGTACTCAAAAAATTCAAAGCCAAAAAAAGAGTTCTGTTAAGTTTCTTTTTTTTTTTTTTCACCAACCATTTATTCATAATTTATGAGAAAACGCTCAATAAATCATTTCATTTTACCTATACGATACTCTTTTTAATTCAAAATATAAAAAATTGAAAAAGGAAAAAAAAAAACAAACTTACATATCACACAAAATAATTATTTATTGGGTGGTAAAAATTTATTTTGCATAAATGGATAATGTAATTACAAACGACATTGCTGTTCGATTTCGTTGAATGCGCAGAATTTTAATGCTCGGTTTATTTACCACCTATAATAATTCGATGCATTTAACAATGCAATGAATAACAAATGAAAAAGTATTACATTATGGCATATCAAAAGTAACATTTAATTTTTTCGACAATCTTTTAATCAGGAATTTTATCACAAAAATCAAATTTGTTCCTTA